TTCAATTAGGTTAGACTATTAGACGACGATTTTTTTAAATATTATATGATTGTTAGGATTAGACCTAATTAATTGCATTTATAATATTATTTGAATATTTGTATGTAAATGTGAATATTTGTTGTGTATGATTTAAGAAGTTTTAAGTTAGTTAGGTAAGGATTAAGAATGAAACTAAATCTAAATTTAAGTTATTTAGTACATTTTTTCTATATATTGATTAGATTAGGTTAATTCAATGTTGATTAGGTTAGTTTTAAGTTTTAGTTTAGGATTAAGAATAAAACTAAATCTATATATGATGATTCTTAGAAACATGGCGGGCCGTGATTGGTTCGAGGAAGAACTTAATACTGCAAGAGAGTTATTTGGGGAGGAAAGCACTTCTGATGGGGCAAATCAATATGAACTTAGAAAAAGAACAAAATTTGACCCAAATGATGATCGGAAACGAAGGACAACTATAGTGCGTAGAGTTGCCAAAATAAGAGATAAATGAGAAAGAATATAAGTGCAATTTGATGAAAAAATAACCCCATTGGAAAAGCGGGGAATGAGCTGCATAGTTATGTCGGTGTTTTGGAACGTGAACGCTTGCCATTAAGAATAGAAGTTTGGAGACATAAAAAAAATAAAGATAACGTGCATTGAATTTGTCATGATTTGGTTCAAAGTTTCACGGTTCCAGAGACCGCAAAAAAATGTGAGCTTACTTGTGCGGCGAAGATGGCTTGGGACTTTAGGTCGAACCTATTCATGACCTTTGTAAAGCTGTTAGAGGATAGTCCCCAAGTATATGAACCTCCAAAGAAAGTGGCTAGAAACTACCATTCAATTACCCCAGAACAATGGAGGAAGTTTGTGGAGTATAGACTTAGTGATGATCGATAGGCCGATTCTAAAGAAGCATCTAAGAGCAGAGGATCGTATAAATACCCGCATGGAAATGCTCATGCGGGGCATAGGAAAGCATAGGAAAATTATGCAAGTCTTCAATTACTTTTTTTTCAATGATATTAATTACTTTTTATTTGTATTACAATCTTTAATATACTTTTTAATTGAATGCAGATGCAAATGCATAATACTATATAGAAGTCGGATCGAGCCACTTTATGGCAATTCATACGCGAAAAACCAGACAGAACTTACAAAATTTTGGAATGCGAAGAGATCAGCAAATTAATTGTGAGTTATTGCTTTTCTTTTTAATATTTGTTCGATAAATGGGAAATATGCCAAGTAATTTATATTATTTTTGTTCTAAATTTTGTAGGAGCAATATGCCGAAGAAGAGTCCCAAGGAAAGTGTCAATCTCAGGGGACTGATGATGTGCTTACTAGATCATTGGGAAATCTAGATCGAATACTCAGGCTGTGTTCGTAGGAAATCCTAATTTGTCAAAAAGTTGACTTATTTTCATTCCACCAGCAGATTATAAAGGGATGAGGAGTTGGCAAGGCTGTGTAAGAGGGTGGAAATAATGAAGGCCAGATGGGAAACAATGCAATCATCTCAAGGCCATACCCCATCACCTATAGGAGAGGGAATGGGGACTCCTATGATGGATCAATGGCGTAGTATTAAGGAGAGTTGTACTATTCATAATGCTATGCCACCGGTAGAGCCCCCACATCAGGCCTTGGTGATGGTAGTAAGTGCATTCTTCTAGCTCCAACAGAGGGGGAGAACAACCATACCCTAGCACCTGTAGGAGATGGAATGGGAACTCCTATGGTGGATCAATGGCGCAGTGTTAATGAGAGTAGTACTATCCATAATGATATGCCACCGGTAGAGCCCCCTCATCAGGCCTTGGTGATGGTAGTAAGTGCATTCTTCTGGCTCTAACAGACGGGAAGAACAATTTTATCGTTGTTACGACGGGGAAGGCATGGCTGGATAGTCTCCCTACCGATGTTGTCCATGGTGTCGCAGTTAGGGAGAAAAAAAATGCTCATGCGGGGCATAGGAAAGCATAGGAAAATTATGCAAGTCTTCAATTACTTTTTTTTCAATGATATTAATTACTTTTTATTTGTATTACAATCTTAATATACTTTTTAATTGAATGCAGATGCAAATGCATAATACTATATAGAAGTCGGATCGAGCCACTTTATGGCAATTCATACGTGAAAAACCATACAGAACTTACAAAATTTTGGAATGCGAAGAGATCAGTAAATTAATTGTGAGTTATTGCTTTTCTTTTTAATATTTGTTCGATAAATGGGAAATATGCCAAGTAATTTATATTATTTTTGTTCTAAATTTTGTAGGAGCAATATGCCGAAGAAGAGTCCCAAGGAAAGTGTCAATCTCAGGGGACTGATGATGTGCTTACTAGATCATTGGGAAATCTAGATCGAATACTCAGGCTGTGTTCGTAGGAAATCCTAATTTGTCAAAAAGTTGACTTATTTTCATTCCACCAGCAGATTATAAAGGGATGAGGAGTTGGCAAGGCTGTGTAAGAGGGTGGAAATAATGAAGGCCAGATGGGAAACAATGCAATCATCTCAAGGCCATACCCCATCACCTATAGGAGAGGGAATGGGGACTCCTATGATGGATCAATGGCGTAGTATTAAGGAGAGTTGTACTATTCATAATGCTATGCCACCGGTAGAGCCCCCACATCAGGCCTTGGTGATGGTAGTAAGTGCATTCTTCTAGCTCCAACAGAGGGGGAGAACAACCATACCCTAGCACCTGTAGGAGATGGAATGGGAACTCCTATGGTGGATCAATGGCGTAGTGTTAATGAGAGTAGTACTGTCCATAATGATATGCCACCGGTAGAGCCCCCTCATCAGGCCTTGATGATGGTAGTAAGTGCATTCTTCTGGCTCTAACAGACGGGAAGAACAATTTTATCATTGTTACGATGGGGAAGGCATGGCTGGATAGTCTCCCTACCGATGTTGTCCATGGTGTCGCAGTTACGGAGAAAAATGTATGCGTCTCTATTCAATTGACTTATGTAAGAGACGCGCCTTGCCTATCCCTACAGTTGATAGCACAACTGTGGGTGACGCTCTTAGAGGATTTGTTGCTTGGCCCATGAATTTGGTTGAACTAGGGTCCTTGAGTAAAGTTAGCAAAGCTCTGACCGAAAAAGAACCCGTGGAGAATCCTCCGGAGCCGGCAAAGAAAAAAGCTAGGAAACAAAAAAAGTTGAAAAATACACAAGGACCCGCCAGGGACAGAGAAGCAACACAATCGCTGCCAAAGTAGTTGCAAGGATTGCCCACAAAAATGAAAGACTTAATGCTTCATGTACGACAATTGATGGGCATCGATGGAACAATTCAGATTCCCCTTCCATTCGAAATGACTTAGGTGCATAATATGCAAATCTCCATTATAGCCGATGATATCGAATGGATGGCCACCTATCAATAACTTAGTCTTGTATGTATCATAGCTTACATGTGGTAATATAACTATCCTTATTACTTTTTCACAATAAATTATTGTTTATTATTAAATGTATAACTAACTTCTTCATTTTTCATGTAGTCACTTGTGGCATGTGTGCAATTAGGAGAATGTCTTAGGACGTTGGGGTTTCATGTCCCCGATGCTCACGTCGTACGTTCCAGGCCAAGCGGAGCTGGATATAGAGCGGCGAGCAAATGCCAATTGTACAATTTTATTACAATCGGATGCCCGGCGCACTTTCTTCGTGCCATACAATGGAGGAGGACATTGGATGTTGGCCGTGATATCTCCCACACAAGATAAGGTTGTGTGGTTGGATCCCCTCACGGTGAAAGTACGCGTAGACTTCAAAGGATTGATTGCCCTGTAAAATTGGCATTCTTTATACTTTCGAACTACGAATTTATATTATTCCCTTTACTAATTAATTGACTTTTTCATTATTTATTAGTGCATTACGTGGTTGGGAGGCACAAACAAGGCTTGAGTTTGAACGCCATGCGGATGGATTCACAAAATTTCTCATCCCAAAGGTAAGTGTACATAATTTTGTTCATTGAATTACTCGAACTTAAGGAATATACCATTTTTCATGTACTAAAATTTGTTATTCATTATCAGAAAATTTTGACACATGAAGGGAACAAAGAATACGGGTTCTTCATCTTATAGTATATGTGGGATCTAATGAGAGTTGGTGTTTATGATTTAAAAAACATAGAGGCATATACTAATGAGCATTTGGTAAAAGTGATAAATGAATGAGCACATTTGGTAAAGGGACATATAATTTAATTTATGTATACATTTTGATTTGAATATATGTAATATTAATTTGTTTATATTCTGTAACTTGTGTCTTGTGTTAATTGTGTGACCAAAATGCTGATAAATCACGGAATTAATAGGACAACCCGTGGGAAAAGCAATAAAACATCACCAATTTTTTTAGTGTATAAGGTGCCTACTATGAATGTGACTGTATCGATGCACTTGAAACAACAGAGCGCTCAAGAATTGAAGCTATTTTGAATTCGATGGTGAATTCTCTCCCCTCTAGAGAATGATGCAGTAGCATGCGATTGAAAATATTTTAGGCTTATCTTTGCAAATTTGAAATTATTACTCGAATTATCTTATATTATTTATTATATGATTATTATTATGTTCAATTCAAAAATGTCTTTATTTTATGAACTATATATTTATTTTATTTCATTGAACATTTTATAGTATTTTTCATCTTGAGTTGAATAAAATTATCCACTTACACACAAGATGCAACATAATGAATATGACTACTCACAATAATTGGGGGACCTATATTTGCATATAAATATGTATCAATATTATATAGTTGGGATTTAGATCATATATATATATATATATATATTTTGATTGATTGGTCATGTCTAACTAATCATATTATTTCACATCATTTAACAGACTCAAATACTAGATTACAAAAAAATTAGTTAAGCAGCATTTCAAATCTTACACCATTTTTGAATACTATACAAGCACATGCTAGGGGTATCTTATATTTGTCACTAGCTATATATATTTTAAGAGAAACTCTACTTTTTCATACAGATACACCCTTTAATTTTGGCTCCATTAACAGACTCCAAATCACATCAAGATCAAAAGACATGGCTTCTAATAATTCTAGGGATGATCAACAGTACACGTCCAAGCACCATGACAATCAGCTGAAGCAAGACCTGTTCCAGAACGTCCTCACAGAGCCAAACTGGGAAAAAGTTGTGGAAATACACAAAAACAATCCAGCGGCGTTCAAGACGAAGATCACGAGCTCAGGCCACACGGCTTTGCACCTGGCAATCTCCGAATCCCGAAAACGCATCGTTGGGAGGCTTGTGGACATCGCCAAATGTTATAACAATGATGATGTTGTTGAAGATTCCAATAATATTTCTGAAGCAAAAGAAATACTTGAATTCGCCAACGACAAAGGTCTCACGCCTCTCCATGTCGCTGCGGCGACGGGGAGCATGAAGATGTGCAGATACATCATCGCTGTCGACAAATCGCTAGTGCTTGTGAGGGACAAGAAGGGGGAGACTCCTCTCTTCAGGGCTGTTCATTATGGGCGGAAGAAAGCTTTCCTTTACCTACACTCGGTTGTGTTTGAAGCTGACGATCGAAACCACGACGACGTTGACAGAAAGTACTGCTGGAGAGATGATGATCAGACCATCCTGCACAATGCAATCATCAGGGAAAACTTTGGTGAGCTAGTTGTGACCTTTTTACTATTGATCAATTGAAACACGCCAAATTAAAGGACTGAAAAGTAGCTAGACCCCGAAATTAATATTTTCGGAAAGAATTTTCAGCTACTCAACAAAAGGTCCCAACTTAGATGGAATGTTCTCTGCTTAATTTCCTGAAATATTTGTCCTCTCGCTCTCTTTTTCTTTCCTAAACTACAACTATTTAAGAAATAAAAACGGTCTTAACGCCTCTGTATTATGAGCAATCCTACATATACTGGTAATTCAATCACTTAAATTTTACAAATCACAAAGATCAAAAATCCTAAGATCATTTTATATATAATTTTGGTTTATATCTGTATATATGTACGTTTGCCTACTGCTGTTTCACCGTTTGTGAAATAATTGGTCTTAAAGTGCTGTTCCTTATTGCTTATGTATCATTTCATGCGTGGTGAAACAAAGTTATCGCATGACATAAAGTGAGGTCCCCAGTCCCCACACGTACGTCTGATAATGGATACTACTAATCACAAAGACGCTTTTCTAAAGTTCTACTTTTTTTTCTGTTTGAACACCACTGCTTTCTAGTGACAGGAAACATAATATTAGGTATGGATACTACTAATCACAAAGACGCTTTTCTAAAGTTCTACTTTTTTTTTTTCTGTTTGAACACCACTGCTTTCTAGTGACAGGAAACATAATATTAGGTCTCGTTCATTTTGCCGATTCAAGTTTAGAATTTGAGTTTTGTTACAGTAAAAAATTCTCAAAAACAGCCACGTCTAACTTTTTTAGTAAAAAACTCTCACATAAAGTCACATCTCAATTAGAATTAAAAACTTGAATTAGCGAACTAAACGGGCCCTTAGATTATATAGTATTTTAATAGAAATTATAGTTAGCATTTTTGCTAAACTAAATTAAGTAAGGAACAAATTTTAAAATATTTGAAGTAAATAGCAATAAAAAGATTTTTTACACGTAAATTTTTTATTTACGACTAGTAAAAACATTTTTTTACCACGAAAGTTTCCTAATTATAAATAGTAAAAAGAAAAATTTTACTACGTAAAATTTTAATTTACTGTTATTTACTTCAATTATTTGCAATAAATCTGCGATTTACTTCATTCTCTTTATATTTAATTGCTCTTCTTTAAAACACTAGGTTTCCTTCATTCATTAATTACTCGAGCTTGAGGTAAATGATGGCTCTACTTGAAAATTTTGTGGAATTGAGCTCATTAAGTAGCATCTTAAGGTTAATTTTCAATTTTTTTAACGAACAAAAAAATTCATACAATTTACATGGTAATTATTATACCATGGATATAATGCGGAAACGCTATCAATAAAAACTAAAATAAAATTAAAACCTAGGATGTGACTTACTATAAAGGCCATAAATATCTAAATATTAGATCTAATTCAATTTTTTTTAGTCCAACTCAAGATAGTGTTATGTATATATTTTGTGGCACAACAGATTTGGCGTTCCAGATAATTCACCTGTACAGAGAACTTGTTAATCTTGTCGACAAAGGAGGAGATACCCCAATTCATAAATTGGCCAGAAAGCCTGCTGCCTTTGCAAGTGGTAGCAGCCTTCGCGGACGTGATAAAATCGTCTATAACTGTAAGTGATCCTTTTTTTTTTTTTTGAGTAAATGGAAAAGTGGGAAGACTTTTCCTGGCATAGTGGAATTAATTCAATAGGTTCCAATCGCTCGTAATTTTACTGAAAAATGGAGAAGTAGGAAGCAAAATTAGAGAAACTTAACACATTCCAGTTAAGTGATCAGTGTATTCGTTTATATATACCGAAACAAACTATAGTATCTAGTTACGGTTGTCGACAATATGATTATTAGTGATAAGTATGCATTGGACTCCAGTTTTATTTCATTTGTATATACTAGTTGAAATCTTGCGCTTATAGTCAGATTTTGTAGGTAAGAATAAAAAACACATTTATTAGGGTCTCATTTAGAGAAATATATATATATATATGTATGAACGTATATATGTTTAAAAATTAAAGAATGTACAATAGGACAAAAAGGATAAGAATGATGAAAACGAGAAGACAAAAAAGGAAAGAGAGAGGGAAAAAGGAATGAAAAAAACCCACTTACGAATCGTTTTATCAAGGAAAACATGATTTCAAAAAATTTTGACAGGGGATATGTTTGATAAGAAATTATTTAAAAGGGAATTTAAGAGAAAAGTATATTTATGAGGGCTAATTTGGAGAAAATAAAAAAATGTATAATAAGGCAAAAAAATAAGAATGTGAGAAGGGGGGACAAAAAAAAGAAAGAAGAGAAAAGGGAAAATGGAGGAAAGTGGAGAGAAAAAAAAAAAGAAAGAAATGGTGAAAAGCAAAAAAAAAAAAAAAAAAAAAAAAAGGGGAAAAAAAAAAAAAAAAAAAAAAAAAAAAAAAGGCGCGAATGAAAACGGTTCTTTTGTGCCAAAACAAACTTATTCTCTCTTTATATTGATATATAGAAGATAGGGATATGTACGATTATACGAAATTATTTAAACGGGAAATTTAAGATTAAAGTATATTTATGAGAGGGATCAATTTGAAAAAAAAAAGAAAAAAATTTATAATCAGGCAAAAAAGATAAGAATTTAAAAGGATTAGTAGACAAAGCAAAAGAAAGATGAGATAAAAAAAGGGAGGAAAGTAGGAAAAAAAACAGAGAGAAAGAAAGAAAAAAAGGTTAAAAAAATGTGCAAATGAAACGGTTCGTTAGCGCCAAAAGAAAGTTAATCTCTCTCTCTCTCTTGATATTGATGTATAAATGTGTATAGCTCATCACCGTTCCTGTGTGTTATTTGGAAGGCATTTCTGTAAAAGAATTGAAGTTCAAAGCAGTGGAGGATCCAACAGAAGAAGCCAAAGATAAGACAAATCTCAACCCTTCACAAAACAAGCTAGGTTTCCTCAATTTCATTAGTTTATTGTGGAGGAACACCTTTCAAGCTGGTACATATTCTCTTCTGCCGAACATATCGTTATATATACGTTTTTACCTTGAAATAAATGGATATAAATATGTTTTCAGTGCTTAACTTCTTTCAAGCAATTTAATTAGATATTTCAAGAGATAGCAGATCCACTCACTCTTTATTTGCGTCTGTGTTTGCTATTAATCCATCTCTTAAATGTCACTTAATTTTTTTTCTTTACTAAATGGTGAGAGAGGATAATTGATATTAGTTCTTATTATATAGTACATTCAATTAGGTTAGAACTCAACTCCAAAAAAAAGAAGATACGCACTGTAACTTCAAAAGAAACTAGCATAGCTTGTACAATAGGTCAAGCAAAACTTTTTCTCTGCTAAGGCCTTGCAATGGGGCCTCATTAAAACCTTCTACGTAAAACTCAAAGGGAAAAACCAAGAAAGGAAAACGAGTACCCCAACTCAGTGAATTAACGAAATCTATATCTAGGAGGACCAGCCCTACACAAAAATGACTACAAAAATCAGGAGACGACCACCACCATTCGGCCACCTGCAGATGAACTGCTTTAAAAGTTAACTTGTCTGCAACTTGATACCCAAAGCTGAGATAAAGCTGAGATAAAGCTTAGATGTGAGAACCGATGATATTGAGTCCACAAAGCTGAGATAAAGCTGTGAGCGAACGTGTTTTGTACTTCCAAAAAACCACCATGCTTCAGGATTTGAGAAGCTACACCATATAAATTGAATCACATTTAAAACACAGATCTTTCCACTCGTGTTTAAACGCATTATCAATAGCCATAATCACACCCATTAGTTCTTCTTCCTAGGCATAGGCCACTCCCAAAGGAGCTGCAAAACAACCCTTGTAGAACTCGCAAAAAGTCGAAAAGGCTCCACCACAACGTGAGGGACCAACACCCCCATTTGAAGCCCCATCAATATTGACTTTAATCCATCCTGACAAGCCATTGAACTGTTACAATACTTGGAGCCTTTTTCGGTCTCCCAGATAACTGAAAACTACGAAGAATAAGCAAGTTGTCCTGATCTTGTCCATTGTGCATGAGTTACAAAATCTGCTTCACGAATGAATCGCCAAAGTAAGGAAATTGCCCCTCTTAAATCACTTACTTTTAGTAGTACTTGTTAATTTCTTGGCATGAGTATTTAACTTAATTATACCGTAAAATAAGTTGAATTTTCAGATTTATAATTATGTGTTTTTTGAAAAAATTCACACAAAACAGTAGTAAACATTAAGTATGATCAGCTTATAAATTAAATCACACGAGTATAGTAAATTTGTTTTCCCTATGTGCTCTAACTTAAATGTCATATTTCAACAAACTTTAGAACATGCAGAAAAAGAAGGTGCATATGTTGACGTAGAGAACCATATTGAAGGCAACAGATCAGGTGAGTAATCTTATAATGTTTCTTAATTTATCTGCTCCATGGATAATTACATCTAGTCGATTAAAAAAATGATTTTTTTTTTTTTTGGAATAAACTGTGATACCAAACACAATGTTTTAAGATTTTAAAAAATAATTAAACACAATGTTTTAAGATTTTAAAAATAATTAAACACAATGTATAGAATTGCCTCAAGATTTTTTGCGCAATTAATGCACTTAAAACTTTTTATTGGCTGCAAACTGAATCTTGGGCTTTTTAATTGATTTTTGAGACCCTAATTTTCCCTCCATTAAGAAAGAATGTAGTAAATATCAGGTTTATAAAACTAAATTATGTTATATAAATAGTATATTTTAAAACTATTTGAAGTAATTAAATAACAGTTTACTGCGTAAATGTCTTATTTATATATGATTAGTAAAAATATTTTTTTTTTCACGTGAAAGTCTTTCTATTTACGATTGCTAAAAATATTCTTGCTGGGTCAATAAAGATTTTTTACCACATAAATTATTTTTTACTAGTCATAATGACAGAGTTGTGTACGGTAAATTACTAATAGTTTTGAAATATGTTATTTGCTTAATTTAGTTTTAAAAATCTGGCTAATTACTTTAATTTCTGCTCCAGCATAATTGTTGTCCGTTATTGAATGAAACACATTGCTGAGGATTGTCAAATTTAGAGTCCTAGGCGCTAAAATTAAAAGCTCGCGCGGTTAAATCAGGAAATATTTGGGGTGCATTTCATGCAATTTACATTAAATCTATTATTCATTCTTCATTCCATATATTTTCCCACTTGAAAGCTGATATTGCTCCACTTGGTTGAACGTCTAATTAGGTTCAGACACTGATCAAAAGCGTCAATACTTCTTGCCTTTTAGCAATCTGAAGAGTTGCTTTCGCAAGCTTGTATGCACGGTTACACCGGTTGTTCTTGGATACAGTACGGGATCATGGCTCTCATACTATTTTACGTAGACAACATGCATGGATGAAGAATTTACACGTAACTTAAATTTCTTCTCTGCTGTTAATGTTTTGAAGGACAAATGAGTATAAGGAAGATACAGAAAGAGAAGAAGAAACATGTATGGGCAGTTCAGGTGTTGGATGAACTCTTAAAACATGCTACTATGTACGACGGCAGAGAACGCCTTAGAGCAAGTCAGCTGCAAAAAAGCGTGACCAAAAACTTCGACGACAGTTCAGACGATGATCAAGATCGTTCAAGAGAAAACTCAGATGAAGAGTACTTTGACGACGATATATCTGAAAGTAGCAAGTCCTCTGAGCAGCCAATTTGTACTAATGTTTCAGGTACCTCGCTCTCTGAAGATGGCTACTCATGTTCTAGTAATCTATTACTAACTAATTACAATTAATTAATAAGAATGACGGTAAGGGACAACATAATTAAGAATGTAATATGAAAAGAAGCTGTCTATTTTTACTTGGCAAATTCTAAACAGAAAAGACGCTGAGCTAAGTTTGCTCTTCCCTTTTAGTTTTAATTCCTCTTTGTGATGGATTGGGGATTTAGTCCCCTGTTATTGTATAGGTGGACAAAGTAAAAAGATAGCTTGTAGTACATTGATTTAACTAATTACAATTAATTATTCTCCGGATATTGATCTTTTCGACACTATGTAGTTTTTATATTCTTAAGAATTTGAGTAGATGACGAACTAATCAATAAAATGTAGTATCAGAGGCAGGGCAGGAGCTGGAATGCTCAAAAAAGGAAAGAAGGGAGACAGCCGTATTGCTGGCAGCAAAATATGGGATTGCGGAAATGGTAGAGAAAATTCTCCAAAAATTTCCGGTGTCGATATACGACAAGGACAAACTTAGCAGCAAGAACATTGTGCTGGTGGCAGTGGAGAACAGGAATTTGCAAGTGTATAAGCTCTTGATAAACAAGTATCCTAGGAAACATGTCGTGTTCCAGAAAGTGGATAAGAAAGACAACACTGCATTGCATTATGCAGCAATGTATGATCAAGACCATGTAAAGCCTTGGCCCGTTCCTGGTGCGGCCCTGCAAATGCAGTGGGAAATCAAATGGCATGAGGTAACAATAGTATTTTTTCAGACGAAGTACTCATTAATTTCTTTTATTGTTAGCATAAGATTTATGATATTTCGCCTCTTAAATTTTTAATTATGACAGATTACTTCATGAAGTTTTATTTTTTTTTTCACAATTTTAGTACGTGGCATTTAAATTCGTAAAGAATTTTTTAAATTCAACATAGATATAATCACATTCCTATATCATAATAAATGAAAATCTTACGTAAGTAATTAAATAATTAAAGCGCAAAATGCTCTATTTTTTTATGGGTTTAATAGTAGTGAAATGAAATTTCGACATGATGTATATCTTTTTTTATTACGTTATGATGCGATGGAATATGATTCTCTATTAAATTTCAGAAATCCTTTGTCTATTTCAATGTTAGGTGCACCGAATGATATATTTGAGACAATTTCATGAACTAAGGACTCAGATATTTGTCCAATTATTCATGACTAAAAAAGCAATTAACCCTTCTAAATATCAGATTTTTTTTTTTTTTATTCTAAGACAACAATATAGAACCATATGTCTTGGAAGTCACTAACATAATTGGTCTATACAAAATACATTTCTGAATATTGCAGTTTGTGGAGAACACCATGCCACCACGCCTCTACCTACGAACCAACAAGGATGGTGAAACCCCAAGGGAAATGTTCTCCCACACCCACAAGGGACTGGTCAAAGCCGGCGGCGACTGGCTTACAAGCACGGCCACCTCTTGCTCCGTCGTGGCCACCTTAATCGCCACTGTTGCCTTTGCTAGCTCTACCACCGTTCCAGGAGGAACGGACAACAAGACCAACAAACCAACGCTCGGAAGAACCCCTACGTTCGAATTGTTCGCCATTGCCACTGTTGCCTTTGCTAGCTCTACCACCGTTCCAGGAGGAACGGACAATAAGACCAACAAACCAACGCTCGGAAGAACCCCTACGTTCGAATTGTTCGCCATCTTATCTCTTATCGCTCTATGCTTTTCGGTCACTTCTCTTATCATGTTCCTAGCTATCCTCACCTCCCGGCACCAAGAGAAGGATTTTGGCAAAGAATTGCCGAGGAAGATATTGCTAGGGTTGACGTCACTTTTCTTGTCTATAGCTGCCATGCTCGTAACTTTTTGTGCCGGTCACTTCCTCGTGTTTGAAGATAATATCAAGTACGCTGCGTTTCCAGTGTACGCTGTAACGCTCTTGCCGTTGTGTCTTTTTGCTGCGGCGCAGTTTCCATTGTATTTTGATCTCGTGTTGGCTACATTCTGGAGTCCGTTTTGATCAGTAGTATTACAAACAACCTCATTACCTTTCTTATATTTACTAAAATAATAGCAATGTTATGAATATATGGGGTGCAAAAATTGGTGTTCTCTTTCTTCATTTCTTATATTTTGTAAGTAAATACATTATTATATATATGAGAAAGTAAATCACTCTTCACTTTCTCTTTCCCATTGATGCAAAGTAAACATGCCCTTAATATACCGACAATCCTTGACACTACCTTTGATATTAGAATAGCTAGTTTGCACGTTTGCTCCTGAATTTGTTGGGTTTTGAAAACTTATTGTTTGGCAAAAAATATAAATTCGGAGGGAGTTGCCAAAACCCTACACGTTCAGGGGGAAGTGTACACACTAACCTTGAGTTCATGTGGAATGACTTTATAGATCAAAATTGCCGTAAAAATATCAACGGACAATATCATGTTTAAGCCTCATTCAATGGCTGATCCAAAATGAAATTAATATAGTCATGCTTGACTTTTTGAGATATTGTCGTTTGTTAGATTTTAGGGAGCGATATATCATTCCCATATCTTTCCATTTTCTTGAGATGATGTAGTTTAAACATGGTATCTTTTTCTCTTTTTTTTTTTTCCCAAAAATAGCCTTTAAGGATGTCCCTTTTTAAGCTGTTGTTCGGGGAAAATGTCATTTCCAAAAATTATGTTGTTTGAGCATATATTGTTTTTTTATTTGGATAATGCGTTGTAACTTTTAGATATTTTCAAGTAGAAAATGCAAACTATCATGGTAACAATTATCTTAATTGAACTTTTATCTCGTTTGAGATTGATACGTAAGATGATGCGAGTCTGTGTCATAAATTATGGGACATAAAGTTGAAATGTATGATATATTGGAGAAAGAGTAAATTTCATTAGTCATAGAAAAAAGCTTGATTTCAGGTATTTCGTTTGTCAGAGTATCATCCTTTATCAATGCACCCTTTTTTTTTTTTTAACTGATGCACGCTCTGGATTTGTCGTGTGTGGCAATTTGAAATCCAAATTTTTTAATGAATAAAACCCTAATTGTAAAAATATGTTGCAACTTTGGTACAATAGTCAACGAACATCAATTAATCGTCGGGGAAAAACAAATTGTCATTTATCCTTATCTTAGCATTATCTTCATAAAGTACTGTATCGTTTTCCACGATGCTCTTCAGTTATCCTTTTCAGATATGTTTTACACCAAGAAAATACTGATGTTCCCAACGACAATAACATTGAGCATTCAGAATATATGAATATTGCTGACAGCATATATGGTGATCTATAGGAGAGAAAAATTTCAACTTATTGGAGGAGCTTGTTGAGCAGCAATCAGAAGAAAAAGAAGAGCATCCAAATTCAAGTACTAAAAGAGTGAGTTGTTTGGTTGGGAGATTCGTATCCCGATTCAAATCATGATTCGTGATTCGCTGCAGTATTTTCTCTCACAAAAAATATACGTAAATCGAAAATTATTCTAATCTCATAATTCTAATTCATGAACCAAACGTCTCCTGAACAACTCTGAGCCACAGAAGTAAGATCCTAGTCCTGTAAACACTGCTGATCATGCGGACGAAAGTTATAACTATGTTCCCGATAGCCACATATCCCGAACTCCGATGAGAACTTTTTCATCGAATATTAGCACTCCAATGCATGCTTAGAGTTTCTGTGGTATCAATTTGAAGATTGGTCTTTCTAATCCTTCCAATGGCATTTAAATTTATAATTGAGTGTGATCACAAGAAATGAATAGACAATCTTGGATGGCTCTAGTAGATCAGAATTCTACTGAAGATCAAAGCATTGAAGCCGATATTAAAACAAAAATCAACAATCGAATAGGGGCTCGGAAAGAGGCAGAAATTATTGCTTTGGGTTCTTAGAAAGAATTGGCAAATTGTTATGAAAAATATATCAACGTCATCCTAACATCTCATATAATATAGCCTGTTATAGGAAGAGCTTTAACATGGGAAAACTTTTAGGTTTTTTTTTTCCCCCTGGTTTGCTTCTTTGCTGTTTTATTCTTATTTTTGTTTTGTTTTGTTTTGGTTCTTTTTTTTTTTTTTTTTGCTCCTCGTTCTTAGAATTTCTTGTTTTAGTTTTGTAAGACCATTTTTCTTTTCTTTGTAATAAAGTTTTCGCTTATGACAGAAACTTCCAAGATGTGATAGGAGGCCAATTAACTTCTTGTAAACGTTTTTTGAGGTCGAAAATTTCCAAGGGGAATCTCCCCCAAACTTATAATCATGGAGTTTTTACGCAAATCAACAAGTTGCTTTTATTCTTCTTCATAATATATAATCCTGAAGCATATAACCAATGCCACCCTCCATTGACAAAAAATCAGACGAATCTTTATCTTCTAATTTAAAGCTATATATATATATATATATATATATTCTCACCTTTATTTATTCTGCAATTTAGAATCATAAAATGAGCCCTTAATTAAATTGGAATAATCCAACTCAATATAGCATTAGTTTATACCATGGGTATAATATTGGACTAATCATGATCATTCCAATATTTAGTGATCGAATAACATATATATTTTAATGTTGGTAGAACCCCTTTGGATCATGAAAAGCAAGATCTCTCTAAAAACATCTCTAAAGTTTGTATTGGTCTCATCTTCTTTTTTTCCCTCTAATTCTCTTTTCTTTTTCTTTTTTTTCCCCCTAAATACCTAGCTCCAATATCATCCAACATTATCTACTTAATTTGGGATCATATTTAATTTCTCATTGCCCAAATTTCTAGTTTGCACTGATCAGTTATCATCTTTCAGAATCTTGAAATATCGAAAAATCTAGAAATCCATCGATCAGTACTTTGATTTCTACTATAATAGATCATCAAGCCAATTAGACAAAAACCTAAAAAAAAAAAAAAATGTCTTCCAATTCCAATATTTCTACTGAAGGGACGTCAAAGAGTACAGATGATCATCAGATGTCGACGAACAGCATGCTCAGAGAAGAACTATTCACGAAGGTCATGAAAGACAAATGGGAAGAAGTCGTGGCAATACACGTCAAAGATCAAAGGGCTTACAAGACAAAGATCACCAGTTCAGGGCTCACAGCACTTCACATAGCAATCATGAGAGTGAGAAAAGAGATCGTTGAGAATTTGGTGGATAAGCTCATCAACAAAAGGGATAATAACAATAATATTATTAATGATGTTGATGTAGTTTCTGAAGCCAAAGAGATACTGAGGACTGAGAACAATCAAGGTCAAACGCCTCTCCACATTGCTGCAGCGACCGGGAGCACAAGAATGTGCAAATGCATCGCTGGCGTCGACAAATCATTGGTGCGTGCTCTCGACAAGAAGGGACAGACCCCACTCTTCAGAGCGGTCGCTTATGACCGGTATAGAGCTTTCCTTTGCCTGCACTCCATTGTATGTCGTGATGGTGGCACCGACATGGTCATCGACGTCATAAAGTATTGCCGCCGAGACGATGGTCTGACAATCCTACACGAGGCAATCATTAGGGAACACTTTGGTGAGTTAATTTTACACGATGAACTTTTTATTTTTTATTTTTAACGGAAAGCATCCTATATGAAAGGTAAAGTTACATTGTATCCCTACTAAATTTGACATCCAAAGGAGTGCACTACTAACTGTTATTACTTTTTCAACAACCCAAAAAAAATAAAAATCCTGTTATGACTAAAGATAAACAACATTAACAAAGAGCATCTAAACAACTCTTGTTTGTTCTTTCTAGATCTATGCATCTCTATATCTATTTATTTCAAAAAAAATTATCTGAATATTAATGTGGAAAAGCGTTATATGTACAAATTGTAAAATATGAGGCTAAATAGTTTATAGAAGCCTGACGCATATTATTTTTTCTGTTATGGCGTAACAGATTTGGCATTTCAAATAATTCACTTGTACAAAGAACTCGTTAATTGTGTGGATAAAGAAGGAGAATTGCCTCTTCACGCTTTGGCGAGAAAGTCTGCTGCCTTCAAAAGTGGTATCAACCTTAAAGGCCGAGACAAAATCATCTATAACTGTAAGTCTACCTCTCTTGATAGGGCTGTTGATTTCTAATATATATATATATATATATATATTAATTTTGTTTTGGTATGCCTTGTGGTTGGATTATGTACTTTTTATTTTTGTTTAAATTTAATAAATTACAATGGGGCCTTATTTAACTTACTAGTTACTTGGTAAGACCAGCTTAATTGAGATCATGGCCCGTTCTTTTTATAAAATTTGAATCGCAATTTTGCTATAATATTTTTTGTCATAAAAAATTAAATTTTAATTCAAGTTTCGACTTGAACTTGAACTCACGAAAAGAACAGGTAAATTTCTCTAATTCAGTTCCCATCTCCCCGTTCACTTTTAAATAAATAAAAAAATCAATAATATGGTAATACCATGGTAACCCACGTAGTATAATATAGGATCCAATATTTAATCTTATTGTACGTCATGTGATAGTACTTATCATGGTACAACTCAAAAAGAGAAAATCAATGAACACCTTCCTTCAGTGATCAATTATTTCTTTCCGTAATTTTAATAGTACTATATTTTTACTTAAAAAAAAATGTTGATGCTAGTTAATTACTCTCACCTTCGATTTGAAAAAACAAAAATAAAAATTAAGAGGTATCTCATTTCCATAAGCAGTTGATCCATACAATTTTTTTATTTGGAAGGTATATCTATAAAGGAACTTGAGTTCGATTTTGAAGCATTACAAAAGAATTCGGATCCAAAAGAGGGACTCAAAGATAAGAACGCTGATCCTGCAGGTCAAAACAAGCAAAGTAGTTTCCTCAAATCTATTCGATTATTATGGAGGAATGTTACTCAAGCTGGTATGTTTATTTTTTTTCCAAAACATTATTTGGTAATCCATTTTCATCTTAAGTAAGTTCTAATATGTTCATCTTCAGCACTTAATTCATATATTGGTGGTTCTCATCCCCTCCGGAGTATTTGTTTGTGTTGATCAGTCGTAACATTATGTTTTGTTGCCCTACTGTAAACATATATGAAAGTTAATTCAGTTTAATTTGTATGATTTTCTACACGCTCAAATTCTCTAATTAATATCAGTACCCAATGAAACCACAGGATATTTAAAAAAAGAGTCATGTGCAAATGTTGATTTAGAGAACCGTGAAGGAAGCATAGATCAGACAGGTAAATGCTCCATGCGTTTAATCGAAATATAGGAATTTATTCTGTATTTTTAAGATATTACTTTCTCAACTTTTTACTAATCACGCAAAATCAATTCCGAGTGCCCCATTTATTCAAAATTAACAATGCAAAACACTTTATTATCCTTCATTTGGTAAATGATGGTTCTCTCGAAAGGGATCTCGAAATAACTAAATTTGATTTTAGATTTTTCTTGCGTGTGAACTTTGCTTTATTTGCAAAAAATTTTATTAATACTCGAACAAAGCTATTGTCCTTAAAATCAAGCGCAACGTTTTTTTTTTTTTTTTTTATGCAAAGATAAATAACTGCCAATAAGAATGGATTTTGTGAGATTAAAATACCACAGGGGTAAATTTTTCATGATTAATTAAAAAATACAAAAGATAATATGTATATTTTTGAAAACATACAATAGATTCTCGCATCAAAATTTTCGGTAGTTTCTTTTTTCTCTTTTCTTTCCTTTCATTAATCTTCCTTCCAATGCTGAATACTTCACAATATTGGTTTATATTTAGGCTCAAACATTGCTCATCAAAAGCGTTACGACTTCTCGGCTAGTTACATCAGCTGCGTCGAGTACTATGTCAAGCTTGTATCCAGGAAAATATTGCCGGTGGTTTTAGGATATGGTAAGATCCAAATCTTTATATAATAGGATCTTTTTCGTGTCCCTTAATGATATCATGTTATATTAATAAATTGACATGATTTTTTAATTGATGTAATATTACATTTTAATTAACGTGTTATGATATTATTAAAGGGACGGACATAAAAAGTAGGCAAAAATAAAGGATACCGGAGTCAAAGTCCTTTCAAAGTATCTTTACTTGTGCTTAGTTATTAGCACCTCCTAAAAACCCAACCTAGATCCAGCCCTTCACCCTGGCCAATATAAAAAGAAAAAAAAATATATATATATATATATATATGTATATATATACACACACACACACGTCAATGTTCAAAAAAACTGACAAAAGAAATGCCATAGCTCAATGGCAAAAGAAAAACGAAACACTCATACAACCAACATTTTAAAGTCATCCCCTTAGATGATACGTGAGAGGTGTTAGAAGTTAAATTTGTTCTACGTCGCCAAGTTATTGTATGGTGTTTATATATGGATTCGGTACCCTCTCCCCTTGATTTTCGTGAGATGAATAATGCTGGGAATCGGCTTATACTTGCTCTTTCGCTGGTTTTTTCTATGAATTGTTTGAGATGTCTATTTATACCTCAAATTAATTAAAAGAAAATGAAGCCTTACATTTCGATCTTAGCAAAAAGTTTATATGAAGTAAAATAATTAATTTCAATGGGAAAAAAATTGATAAATTGTTCAAGCAAAAAAAATAATAATAAATGGTAGGTCTTTTTTTCAATGGATCAAACAAGCAATGGATATGTTGTAGGTTAGGAAATCACTTATGAGAGCTTTGCTTATTTGAAATTCTTAATTTTTTGAATAAATATATTGTCTTTAAATGGTCAACTGATTTATAATCTGGTGATGGGATTTTTATAGCCAAGATATCAGCACATAAATTTGCTCAAGGAATTGAAGACGAACATCTTGAACTGGTTAAGAGCAAGGTAATGCATCTAACCGTGTTTCCACATTGTTTTCTGATTTCAAATTCGACTTCTGTTTCCTTTAACTCAATTTTAGTGTCCGAGACAATCTCTTGAAAACTGCACATGGTACAATAAAAAAGAACATGCTGTATACGAACCAAATTGGGCCTTTTATTCTCAAAGTTGAAGATTGTTTATTAGAATATGGAACTTATATGAGGTTGGAAATTTCACCTAATATTGATAAAAATTGTGAGCTTGGCAAAACGTTTTGTTGTTTCTATAATTTTGTGTTAATTAAACTTTTTTGCAGTGTCTAGATTCTCTTCAAAATCTGGAATCTAGGGCTCATTAAATTCATTTATACGAATTTTCAATATGAGCTGAAATGTGATTTTATGTGAGAGCTTTTTCTGTAGCATAAAAAGTTAGATGTGTGTGACTTTTTGTTAGAGCTTTTAACTATTGCAAAATTAAAATTAAAAATTCAAATCGATGAAATGAACGAGGCTTTTGAATCTCAATGGCCCAGAAGATTTCTGACAATGGAATCGAAGCTATAACAGGTGCTTGTCCTAATCTGAACCAAATTAAAAACTCAAATCGATGAAATGAATGAGACTTTTGAATCTCAATGGCCCAGAAGATATCTGACAAAGGAATCGAAGTTATAAGAGGTGCTTGTCCTAATCTGAGACAATCTCTTGAAAACTGCACATGGTACAATAAAAAAGAACATGCTGTATACGAACCAAATTGGGCCTTTTATTCTCAAAGTTGAAGATTGTTTATTAGAATATGGAACTTATATGAGGTTGGAAATTTCACCTAATATGTATAAAAATTGTGAGCTTGGCAAAAGGTTTTGTTGTTTCTATAATTTTGTGTTAATTAAACTTTTTTGCAGTGTCTAGATTCTCTTCAAAATCTAGAATCTAGGACTCATTAAATTCATTTATACGAATTTTCAATTTGAGCTGAGATGTGATTTTATGTGAGTTTTTTACTATAACAGAAAAGGTTAGATGTGACTTTTTGTTAGAGCTTTTAACTATAGCAAAATTAAAATTAAAAACTCGAATTGATGAAATGAACGAGGTTTTTAAATCTCAATGGCCCAGAAGATTTCTGACAAAGGAATCAAAGCTATAACAGGTGCTTGTCCTAATCTGAACCAAATTGAAAATTCGAATCGATAAAATGAATGAGACTTTTGAATCTCAATGGCCTAGAAGATTTTTGACAAAGGAATCGAAGCTATAAGAGGTGCTTGTCCTAATCTGAGACAATCTCTTGAAAACTGCACATGGTACAATAAAAAAGAACATGCTGTATACGAACCAAATTGGGCCTTTTATTCTCAAAGTTAAAGAATATGGAACTTATATGAGGTTGGAAATTTCACCTAATATTGATAAAAATTGTGAGCTTAGTAAAACGTTTTGTTGTTTCTATAATTGTGTTAATTAAACTTTTTTGCAGTGTCTAGATTCTCTTCAAAATCTGGAATCTAGGACTCATTAAATTCATTTATACGAATTTTTAATTTGAGCTGAAATGAACGAGGCTTTTAAATCTCAATGGCCCTGAAGATTTCTAACAAAGGAATCGAAGCTATAACAGGTGCTTGTCCTAATCTGAAGGTCTTCTCTATATATTGGAATATTAGGTATGTAAGGTTTGCCCGTACTTTGAAGTTTTAACTATCCATTGAGAAACTGATATGAATATATTGCTGAATATGACATGTGAATCGAGTTCCAGGGTGACAGATATTGGTATAAGCCATCTGGTGAGAAACTGTAAATACGTCATTGATCTGAACTTAAGTGGCTGTAAGGTATGCGATTACTAATTTTATGATTTATTCCATACACCTTTTTTATTGATAAATAATGGTTGACTTTGAGCTTTTAAAGTTAATTGTCTTGGAGAGTTCTCAGGGCTTGGAGCAATTTGTGTTTCAATTGCAGAATCTAACAGACAAAGGCTTGCAATTAGTTGCTGAACAGTATCCAGATCTAGAATCTCTGAATCTAACTAGGTAAATATAACTTCTTTTTATATGTGATTTATACTTTAAAAAAAAAAAAAGGAGAGAGAAAGAGAAAAGGTTATTTAGCAAAAGATGTATGTTTTATTTTTCTAGTATGTCACTGCATATAATCAACTAAGTACTAAAAGATGATAAATTCTTATTATCCGTTTATTTGTGTAGAATACCGAGAAACTCCATTGATTCAATCGGAATATTAGAAAATAAGACAGAAATAAACCTGTTGATTCGCTCACGAATATCAGGAAAATAGGCTTCAATCACTCGTTGATTCAACAGAATACTGAAAAAATTGGAATAGAAAGAACAAACTCTAAATTTTATTCATAAAAACTGAACTCCCAAAATAACAATAATGAGGAAGCCTTTAAATAGGCAATTGAAAATACAAATAAAGGAAACAATCTCAAAACTAATTTTAGAAACAAGAAAAAGGAAACTAAACTAATCGTAAATATTCTAAATTTGAATTTCATAATAATTAAAAAATAAGAATAGAAGGTATACTAGAAAATATCAGGGAACAACTAAAATAAATTAAAATTCGAATTTTGAAGTAAAGCATCCAATAAATCGGGCAACTTCCAAATCTGCTCCATGCACTGCAGCACTTTTAGATTACGAACTCTTTTAGATTGTGTTTCTTCTCATCTCAAATCTTCTTTTCTTCAAACCATGAGTCAAATAAGTAATTTTCTTTGTGGGAAAAGTAGTCAATTAAGTAAAACCTGTATCTTACTGACGGTTTTTCCATTTCATAACTTGGTGGTTCTAGGCGTGTCAAGTTAACAGATTGTGGCTTGCGGCAAATATTGCTGTAACTGTAAGTGTTCCGCTTTCCAGAATCTAAATTCTATGCCCTCTCCAGGTACTTTAAGGTGGCCATATGTCGGTTTTAGCGATGTTCTTGTCATCTTGATTTAATATTCTGATTCTCATTTGTTCAGTTTCTCCAATGAAACTTACAAGAGCATTGCAATTCTATCCCATCTTAAATATTCGGATCTATGTGGCGCACAGGTACGATCTCCAGCTCACTAAGATACTATTTTTTGTGCATTTCCCATACCGAACACGTTTTAGTAAGAGTTGTCATTTTTTTTTTTTTTTTTTTCAAAACCTCTCAGATGAAGGGCTTTCTTCTATAGCCAAGTGCAATAGCCTTGTCTCCCTTAATTTGACATGGTAATTGAAACTTCCAACCTTCTAACGATGTATATGAAACTGGAATAACATTTTCAGTTACCAAAATGAGCTTTGCTTGTTTGTGTTACATTTTGCCAAACTGGAATTTTGCTTCTGCGCAGCTAGAGGAGCTTTTAAGAACATGATACTTGACATGCTCTGGCCAAACTAGATTCCTATTCCTGCTATAAAAACCGAAACTATAATAAAGGAAATGGATTTAGGAAATGATTTCAGTTTTCTTTATCGTCAAAAATGAAATTTCTTACCTAATATCCAATTAATAGAGAAAAAGAAGGAACAACACATAGTTGTAACAATTTTCGTATAACTTACAGGGTTCTATCACTGTGACCTTTTGTGTTCTCTTTGTGGGATTATTTTGTCACTATGTAATGAAAGTTAAAAAAATAAAAATAATAATAATAATAAAATGCAGCTTATTTGGAATTCGGGATTAAGGTAATCCTTCAGTTTTTGGCACTTTTTCAAACATGGACAAATTAGAGTTATTGAAACTAGGATTAGTGTTCCTAATTGCGTGCGTATTCTAATCTAGAAACGTAGCCGTGATGAATTGCTTCGGCTGTTCCCACACTTGAAGTGCTTCAAAGTGCACAGCTAAAGTCTGAGGAATAAGGATCAAAAGGTTCCATCTTCTTGTAAATTGTTATTGGGTTTCTAAGGGTTTGTTCGGTTGTATTTTTGAGTTATGATGATTTGAGTGTAGATCTTAAGTTGAATTTGAGTTATAATTTAAGTTGAAATTGTAACTTGAGTTTGTATTTGGATGTGCACATTTGAGTTATGATTTGAATTGAGAATCAATTTGAGTTTGTGTTTGAGTGGGTCAAAATTTAAATTTATATTTAGAGAATATTTTAATAAAAATTTAATGGTGATGAAAAATTTTAATATGGTATATGGGTGGGGTTTTATTCATCTCTCCGTTGTGAACACAGAAAAAAAAAATTATCTCAATCGAGATTAAAACGAAAAAGTTATAACGTTTTTAAGAATAGAAAAAATATTATTCATTAACTTGAGTTTGAGTTTAAGAATTTGAGTTGAAGGAGAAACTTGAACTCAAATTTTAGCTCTAAACTTAAGTTAAAACTCAAGTTTAAACTCAAATTTTACAAATAAATATGAACTTGAATAAAGTCGTAATTTGAGTTTAAACTTTTTTCGAGTTTTACTCCAAAAGAATAAGCCATAAGCTTCAAGGTTTTTCAAGTTTGCCTGATGATCGTATTCTATTTTTTCAAGTTCTCATGAGGTCGCCTATTCTTTTGTAACAATGAAGGAAATGATTTTGTTCATTTTTTGTTCCCAAAGTCTTCTCATTTGTAGATTACTTAATCTAAATGCTGTTATGATGAACTAAGAATTTATGTAGTAATAATTGGGAAAATTAGATAGCAGAGAATGCTACATGTTCTAGTAAATCAACGTTGTATTAATTGGTTGGAAACTGTGGTCTAATAACTAAGGGGCCATTAATTAATTGACTAAATGCCTCAAGATTTTTCAACACGATTTTTGTTGGTTGTCAAGTTGAACTCTGATATTTTTTAGTTGATGCATTTGAAACTATAACGGACGTTTGTTTTCAACTGGAATACATTTTCAATAACTGTTAAATTTAGGATATCAAAATTGATAAAAGTTTTGAGTTCAACTTGCAGCGAACAAAATTAAGGTACATCGGTAGATATGCAAGTTTGGACCGGGCAAAATTAAGTCCAAAAGTATTTCTCGGGGTGGCTTGAATTAAAAAAAAAAATTGGAAAATTATAATAAATAACAGATTTTTAAAATTATTTGATTATTTCCGATTTTGCCGGTTGCAGTGATGCTCTTTGAGCTGCTGTCGTTTATTCTATCGTTCTCCATGCGATTATTTCCGATTTTGGTTCCCAAATGCATACAATATAAAAGCTGATACCATTTCAATATAATAAATTAATAATAGACTGAAAATTAAACAAATGACAAAACCAATTCAAAAAGTTATATATATATATATATATATATATATATCAATCTTATAAATTAACACATCGAGAAATTAAACATACTTAATTAGAGTAATTAAGATTTATTAGTGTGTATAATCTGATTTAATTAATTAATTGTGTTCATTAAATGTTTTTTAATATGTAAGTTTAAATATTTTTAAGGAATTTAAACATTTTCGGTATTTACATTTTTACTTCAGAAGTGTGTGAAGAAACATTTTTTAATATACTTTTGTAAATATCTTTTGAAATTATACTTTTCCTTAATTTCTTTTTCTTTTCTTTTTCTTTCCCTCTTTTCTCTTTCTCCCATGACACCCTCTCTCTCTCTCTCTCTTAAAAATTTGTCACAATCTTCCGAGATCTAGAACCAAAGAGGAACTTCAAGAAGTTTTCAATATCAAGGAAAGGATTTTGGATAAGATTTCTAAAAAATTTCTCTTAAATCTTAGATTTTTCCTTTAGAAAAACTTATTTTTAGTTCGAATTGGATTTTGATGGAGCTTGGTTAAAATCATGATGAAAATTGGGAAAAATTGGTTCTTTGGACTTAAATTGTCATTTGGAACCTGGATTTGTTGGTTTCCTTTGAAAATATCTCGAATTTGAACTCGAATTTGTAGGATTTGACCTCGTTTCCCACGGATTGGCCATTTGGCCGACCTATTTTGCTCCCACCGGTTGACCAGTCCCTTCTCCACCGGCCAACCGGTGGAGATGAACCTCTCTGTTACCGGTCGGCCGGTACACACATAGTTCGACTTTATTTTGCCTTAAAATGTTGTTTTGACCGTGTTTTTCAAAGAGAACCCAAATTAGCTTCATTTGCGAACCTAAAGTAGATTTATTAGTATCATTAATCCATGTTTTGAGATCAAAATCCTTGGAATGATAATTTAAAACATGAAATGATTTGTGAAACTTGAAATTTGATTAAGACACACTAATAGGAAATCAACATGTATGATTAAGACTGGTTCGTTTTAGGAATGAGAATTAAATCCTAAAACGTTAATTTGTGTAAATGCTAGTTGAAGAATCGGATTGAAGACTCTGAGGAAGCGGAGGCTATGATAGCGCAACGCTAGCAACAAGTTTGGTACTTGAGAGGTAGGATTTCCTGTCCTTTTCTTTGATAGCGTGTTTTAAAGTTTTGGCATATACAAATGTTTTAAAGAAATGACATGTTTTATAAAGAAAAGTATTTTAATACAATAGCTTGATTTTAGCTATTGAAATTATGATAAACTGTTTCAAAGTTTTAATAAATGATTTCTTAAAATAAGATATATTACAAACTGGTAAGCCTGTTGATGGCCTAGAAATGATATGCAGAGAGTATCCTCAGGGGAAGAACCCGAAACCCGGACCGGGTCACTACGGTGGTGTTAAGGCTTGTGCTTGTGGTTGTGTAAGTAATTTATCATAGTATAAATTACTTGTTGATGCTTGTAATACGGAATTTAAAGTTTATATTTCCTTTCAAAAAAATGGATGTTAGGTTCCAGCTGTTGTGTTGGAACTCGATATCTTTATTTATTTATTTACTTATTCATTTATTTACTTGTTTAAAAAGTTTGTTTCAAACTACATCCTACTGGGCATTCTGCTCATGTTTTATTTTTATTTCTATAAATATTAAACCACTATCAGGCAATGCTATAGCAGTGCAGAGTAAGTGGCAATCTCTGACAACCCTAGCTTGTGTAGTTTGAGAAGGAGTTGAACTATCCATCATCCTTGTGTATAAATGTAATGATTGTAACTCTAAGACTATAAACTTCGAATATTGAGACTGTAGTTGATGTCTGTAAATGTTATTTACATGTTCATATATGTACAATATTGTATATCATGTGGGTGAAACCCTAAATGATGCCAGAGGCTTATTTTTTTTAAACTTGCTTTATCAGAAAAGTGTGAAAGTCTCATCCACTTTCTTGTAATTTAATTTCTGTAAAATGTGAGGCTTATTTGGAAATTTCTTTAATATTTTACTTTTGAGATTGATTTTCATATTTTTAAATGCTTAATTATTTTTTTAATTATGTTTAACTTCTAAACGAGTCTCCACGTCACTAACCTCTGTTTCGGGGCATGACAATAACTCATTTCAAAAATTTCTAGAATAAAAAATCTCTCTCTATATATACATATATAACAAAAAGAGAGTTTTTTTTTAGACCTACTAGTAACTTCTCAACATCAAATATGATGAAAATTATATGAAATATATATATATATATGTGTAGAACAGACACTTTTAAATAAAAATATGACATTTAACAGTTAAAAATAAATAAAAAAATTTGTAGTTTTTTTTTTAAGATTTACCAAAAAAATTCCCTAATAAAAATTTAGATTTCCAACCTTCTAAAATTTTTACATTTTTCTAGAAGTTAAAATAGAAAATGAAAAGAAAAAAAAAAGGATTTTAATGTTGTTTTTTGAGCTTCTCTAAAAATGAATTACTGATAGTTCTATATATTCAATCATCATATTAGTATTAAAAATAATATATTATGTATATTTTTTAATATGATATAATTTTAACATGTATAACGACCAGTGTTGCAACTTCGGGCGGCGGGTATGCCCGGTGCCCGAAAATTTTCGGGAACAATGAGCAGGGCCCTCTCGCCGCCCGACCACAATTTTTTTCGGGCACGGGCTCGGGTAGCCCGAAAATATTAATCCCCCTGATAGGCCGCCGCCGTGGAGAAGTCGTCCCCCGCCGTTCGCCGGAATTTTTTTAAATTTTCCGGCAATACCCGAAGTTGCCCGATTTTTGCCCAAATTGCCCGAATTTTTTTGACCGTTGCCCAATTTTTTGTGATCGTTGCCCGAATTTTGCCCGTTGCCTGAAAAATGCCCGATTTTTTTTATCGTTAACCCTAAAAATGCCCGAATTTGGAACAAAAACGGGTCTTTTTGCCCAACCCAACCCGAACCTGAATTTTGCCAGAAAATTTGAACCCAATGGTCGGATTTCTTACCGTTGCCCGACCTGCCCGAATTTTGCCCGAACTGCCCGAAAATATAGTAGCCGTTGGACCTGAATTTTTGGGGGAAAACTGTTTTTTTTTCAACCCAAAAATTTTCCTATAAATACCCCCCCTCCCCCCAACCATTTTTCTCACCCAAAAACTCTCATTCTCTCTCAATTTCTCTTAATCTCTCTCAAATCCATCTCAAATCTCTCTTAATCTCACTTAAATCTCTCTCGAATCTCGATCTCTCTTAAGCTCTCTCAAAGCGCTCTCAATCTCTCTTATTTTTCATAATGGCTTCTTCTGGTTATGGTGGTGATATTCCCATTGATGCCCAATTCAACATCGAAGAATGGTAATTTTCTAATGTTTTTCAAACGCAGGAATCGCAAACTATGGAAAGAGTTGCTGATGAAACTGCAAATCCGACCCCTGGTGGACATACTAGAGGTCGGGGACGTAATGGTGGTGGCACAAGTGGCCGTGGAGGAGAGGCAAGCGGTAGTGCTAGTGCAAGTGTTGCAAGTTCTAAGAAGAAATGCAAGCACACCTCAGCAGTTTGGGAGCACTTCAATACATTCGAGGAGGTCGACAATAACGGTAACATTAAATACGTAGCTCAATGTAAATATTGTGGTGAGAAATTACAAGGTAACACTATTCACGGCACTACATACTTAAGAAGACACTTTGAAAAGTGTCTTCAAAAGTAAGGAGTCGGAGCTGATCTCCGCCAAACGCAATTATCGTTTGACCGCCAAACCGGCGGTCTAAGCACGTGGAAATACGATCCGCAAGTTGATCGTATGGAAATGGCACGATTAATAGCCACATTAGATCAACCACTAAGTTTTAGTGAATAAAGAAATTGACAACGTTATATTAAAATTGTACATAATCCTAATGCACAATTTTTTTCTAGAACTACTCTTAGGAAAGATGCATTAAAATTATATAAACAAGAAAAGGAAGCATTAATCAACCTTCTACACTCTACTAGTGGTTGCGTTGCGTTAACGGCAGATATTTGGTCCGCCGTTGCCAACAAGGATTATTTAGCTGTAACCGGACATTATTATAAAGGTTTTGATTTGGATAAGAGAATCTTAGGTTTCAAATGTGTTATAGGATCACATAGTGCCAATTTAATATATAACACAATTTTATCTGTTATTGATGAATATAGTTTAAAAGATAGAATAATGGCCATAACATTAGATAATGCAACTGCGAATATTAAAGCAATAGAACTTTTTGAAAATGATTTAAGTTTATTCGATAATAATGATATTTTCCACTAATGTTGTGCATGTCATATAATTAATTTAATAGTAAAGTCCGGTTTAAAATCAATGTCAGGTCATATTAAAAGAATTAGAGATAACATTGCTTGAATTCAAGGTAGTAATCAAAGAATACAAGATTGGTTTAGATTTCTACAAGCATGTAATCAAAATCCTAGAGCATTAGCCTTAGATCATAAGATGGAACTCCACTTACATAATGCTTGAACAATGAATCCCCTATAAAGATACTATAACAAATTATGTTAGTGCAAAATTAGGAACATGATTTATAGATGAAACTGATTGGCAAATTGCCGAACTTTTGTATAACTTTTTAGGTAGATTTCACGAAGTTACCTTAAAGCTTAGTGGAACTTATTACCCAACTTCACCATTAGCGTTAGGAGAACTTTTAGAATGTCTATTTTATTTAGTGAATTTAGGACACACGAGGTTTTAGGAGTTTCTATCGCCTCTATGGAAAAGAAGTTTAAAAAATATTGGTCTAAATTACCCATGTTGTATGGTTTCAGTGTTATTTTTTACCCTAGATTAAAATTAGAAGGTTTAGAAAGTGGATTAGATAACTTAGGTGAATTTTTAGCTACCGACATTACTGACCAATTTCCTATTATAAAGGAAAAAATATATTCTCTATATATCTCTTACGAAAGTAGGTTTAGAAACACACCTCGTGTTGAACAACCGCAACAATGAGATGACAATCTGCATTCATTTTTGAATCTTTTCGGGTTGTCTAAGAAGAAGAAGAAGACGGCGACGACGAGTCAAGGTCAAGAAGAATCTGGGAGTGGAAGTGGATCTTCATCAAGAGGTGGCGGCAGATTCAATGAGTTAATGGCGTACCTGAGTGAGGGCTTAGTTATAGACAGTAGTGAAATGTTTGATTTGGTTGAGTAGAATGGATCAACGAATTTAATAGATTAACTTTTAATTTTCAAGACGACCCTTCTGCTTCAAATTAAATTTTATTATTCTAATTTGTAAATATTTATTTACTTTGTAATTCCTAATTTGTATAGTGTTTATTGTAATCTTGTATAGATTTATAAGTTCGTTAAATTTGTAATTCGTCCCACAATGATTGCACTCTTTTTTCCTTACCAAGTTTTTATCCCAATTGGGTTTTTCTTAGTAAGGTTTTTAACGAGACAATCATGAATTACAAATTTAAAAATCAATGAAGAAGTAATTTTTTTTATATAGTTCATGTGTTCATTTTAAATTTCAAATTGTAATATACACATTGTAATTATACAAATACTTATACAACATAAAAATATAATATAAAAAAATAAAATTCGGGCAGCCGGTCGGGCATCGGGTAGCCCGACCGGGCACGGGCAGGCATCTCTTGCCCGAAGCCCATCCATGGGCAATTTTCGGGTCGGGTAGCCTGAATTTTTGGGCAGTTCGGGTTCGGTACTCGGGCAAAAATTTAGACTTTTCGGTGGTCACGGGCGGCCCGTCCAAAGTTTCAGCACTAATTGTAATTATACAACATAAAAATATAATATAAAAAAATAAAATTCGGGCAGCCCGACCGGGCACGAGCAGACATCTCTTGCCCGAAGCCCATCCATGGGCAATTTTCGGGTCGGGCAGCCCGAATTTTTGGGCAGTTCGGGTTCGGTACTCGGGCAAAAATTTAGACTTTTCGGTGGTCACGGGCGGCCCGTCCAAAGTTTCAGCACTAATTGTAATTATACAAATACTTATACAACATAAAAATATAATATAAAAAAAATAAAATTCGGGCAGCCCGACCGGGCACGGGCAGGCATCTCCTGCCCGAAGCCCGTCCATGGGCAATTTTCGGGTCGGGTCGGGCAGCCTGAATTTTCGGGCAATTCAGGTTCGGTACTCGGACAAAAATTTATACTTTTCAGTGATCACGGGCGGTCCGTCCAAAATTTCAGCACTAATAACGACTAATAATTAACACGACTAATCTTATATATATAAAAGACTAGCATTTTTATTATTATTATTTACTATATATATTATATATCTTCCCTGTAACAAGCGGGCCAGAAGTGAAATTTCAAAAGACCGAAGGGCCATTTCCGTAATTTTACAAAAGAAAAACCCTACTTCTAACGTGGCTCACTATAAAGTCATAACATAAGCCACAAAGACGGCCTCAGTCACTGCCAGAGAGAGGAAACCCTAGCGGAGGAGCGAGAAAGCAAAGGAGAGAAAGAGAGAGAGAGCAGAGAAAAAAATGCCGGCAGGACACGGTCTGAGATCGAGAACCCGCGACCTGTTCTCGCGGCCGTTCAGGAAGAAGGGGTACATCCCTCTCTCGACCTACCTCAAGACCTACAAGATCGGCGACCATGTCGACATCAAGGTCAACGGCGCCATCCACAAGGGCATGCCCCACAAGTTCTACCATGGCCGCACCGGCCGCGTCTGGAACGTCACCAAGCGCGCCATTGGCGTCGAGGTCAACAAGCAGGTATAATTTCCATTTTTAGGGCTTTTTGGTTTCTTCGATCGGTTTTAGGGATTTTGGCCTCTAGGTTGTTATCATTTTGGTGATATATTAGTTTGTGTTAGTTCGATTGGAATGATATTTTGTTGTTTGATTTTAGGGATTTTGGTTTCTTCTATCGAAATGGTGTTTTTTTGTTTGTTCTGATATCCGTGTGTTACCGATTTTAGGGATTTTGGCCTCTAGTGTACTATGATTTTGGTTTTTTTTTGTTAGTTCGATTGAAATGTTCATCGATTTTAGGGACTTTGGCTTCTAGGTTTGTTGTTTGATTTTTTTGCTGATGCTTTTGATTTCCTCGTTTAAATTTGTTAATAATCTGAGTTTAGAGAAGTAATAGCGGTATGTTTTCATAATGTGATGCCCTTTTCTTATTTTGTATTTGTGAAAAGTTCTCACATTTTAATTGGCGGTTACACATAGCAAACTGGGTTTCTGTAATCCAATGTTGTTAAATTTCAATGAAAAATTCGTCTACACTTTTTTTGGCTGGGAGATTTGTTCACAAATAATATTGCTTATTTGTGGTTCTCTGTATGTTATTGATGAATGCTACAAATTGTGTGCTTTGAATACTTGCTTACTTTCTCTACCAAGTAATAACGACATTCATTTTCTAATTGGGAATGTGCGTACGAAATGTTTGAACTGTTTATTTGTTTGGGTTATTGTACTATGTATATTCATATGTTCATATAGTAACTATGTAACAAACCCAGAAAGTTGAAAAACAATATCTCTCACCTCAATCATTAAGAAGTGGGGGTCAATGTGTTGTGGTGTAGTATATGTGAATGTTGAACGTTTATTGTTGTTATAGTGTCAAGTATTGCATTTATTATGTATGAAAAAATGTTGTGTTTTTGATTGCCAATGGGTTTAATTCTTTGTTATTGTACTTGGATTCCAGGTGGGTAACAGGATCATCAAGAAGAGGATCCATGTTCGTGTGGAGCATGTGCAGCCATCTAGGTGCACCGAGGAATTCAGACTTAGGAAGATCAAGAATGACCAGTTGAAGGCTGAGGCCAAGGCAAGAGGTGAGGTTATCAGCACCAAGAGGCAGCCCGTCGGTCCTAAACCCGGTTTCATGGTGGAAGGTGCACAGTTGGAAACTGTCACTCCCATCCCTTACGATGTGGTCAATGACCTCAAGGGCGGTTATTAGGTCTCATATTTTTCTGTTATCGTTTTGTTTGGTTTGTTTTGCAAACTACAAATGGACTCGATTAGCATGTTTGGATGTGTTTCCTTGATTAGTTATTTAAGGCTTTTATAAGTTTCCAGACATTGTTAGTTCTCTTATTTGATACTATTCAAGTACAATTTTGCTTTACCTTGGAGATGAGCTTTGGAGATACATCAATCGTTCAGATTTTGTCACGACTTGTTTGATTTAATATATTTGTCCTAGCGTTGAAGAACTTTATATTAATGTTTGGTTCTCCTGATTTCAAATCAGGAAGGGGACAAAACTTGAAAAAGTGTAATATGAGATCCGTTTGTGTAAGATGCATGTGGTTAAGCAAAACGCTTAGCTTTTAATTTTGTGCTGATTTGGGGATTTGTATGTATTGCTTGCCCCAAAAAAATGTCGACTTGAGCGTCACCAAGGCAAACATATTCTTCATTCTTTCTGGTTCATCAGAGAAACAAAATGAGACATTAGTGATTCTCAATAACGTTAATGATTTTAGGGTCCGTTCACTTTGTTGATTCGAGTTTATAATTCGAGTTGAGATGTGATTTTGTGTGAGAGTTTTTTACTGTAGTAAAAAAGTTAGATGTAATTGTTTCTGAGAGTTTTTTACTGTAATAAAACTTGAATTTTAAACTCGGCGAAATGAACGGAGTCTTAGTCTGTAATTGGCAATTTCTGCTGGTTATGCTTAAAGGAATTTGTGCCGAGTAAAGAAATTGGCGCAAGAGCTACAGTCTTTTGGTTTTGTGAGATGAGATAGATCTGTTGGTCTGTCTTTACCGTCAATACTTTTAGAAAAGCTTTTAAGGCCATATTGTTTTGAAATCCAAGTCAAAATCTGAATTTGTGAAAGGGTTAAAGAAAAAATGTTAGTAGCCCTAGAGACGGTGTACTAATTCTGAAAATTTTCGGGGGATGTTTGTTTTTTATTTTTATTTTTAATTTTAAATTATAATTTTAAATTTTTTTAAAAAATATACATAAAATAAAAATAATTATGGATTATATTCTAAATATTCTGAATTTATAAATTAAACAAACACTTAATTTTTTTCCAAACTGACCCTATTTCAAGGATAACGTTAGGTTCATTCTCTCCATGTTTGCATTTTGTTGGAGGGCAATTTCGTCAAACCAGTGGAGCAATGATTCAAAAGAGTGACCACATGAGTTGTCTCTCTCTCTCTCTCTGGGCTCAGTATCAGGAAGCAAATATTTTTTTATTCTCCTCCCTCTCTACTCTCTATTATTTTGCAGGCCTCTCTCTCTCTCTCTCTCTCTCTCTCTCTCTAGAGTTTTTAACCCAACAGATTATCATTTGCTTAAATGAAGGAAAAAGAAACTCCAAATGTTGTAGGTAACAAGAAGATGAAGTAGTATCAAGTGCTTACCCATCTCTCTCTCTCTCTCTCACTCTCTTGAGGAGTTTATTTACCATTTGCTGAATCCCATCCTCTTCACTTTGTGTCCTACTTCACATACCCCCGTAACTTTTTTCTTCTTTTTGCAACTTTTACTTTATAGAGATTTTCATCCTTTTTCATTTTTTATTGTTTTTTTTTTTTTGCTGGATAAAACTTTCATATTTGTTTCTATTGGTGAAAAAGCACATCTAGGATTCTGTCTATCTATAGACAGTAGGATTCTCTATACTTTTCTTAGACATATATATATATATACACATTCATATATATCACGTGCAAATCACACAACAAAATTCCATTCTGCCTGAGGAGTTCTACTCTTAAAAGTGTACTGTGTCAAGTGATCCATTTTTTAGTAAAGGGGCCAAAACTATGACGAGATGTAAAGTTTAGAGGCCTCTGAGTATTTTTAACCCTTACCTAGTGTCTCAACTATTTTAATCCTAAATTTTCTACTTCTTTCATATATGAAATTGAAATATATATATACACACACACACACTTCCGTGTGGAAGTAGCTAAACAGGTGATGGTGTTGTTCCTTTAAGAATCTTTGCCTTCGTATATAACAAGGCAATATGAAGGGCATAAAACATCAAAGTACATGAACCGTGCATCTTTTGAGAGAGACCAAACACGCCAACTATTACCAGCCAGGCCCTTTGTATTCTTTTGTCTTCAGACCCACCATTCCAAAGATGAAGAAGAAGGTTTCCTTTACACTCTCTCCTCTCCTGCTCTTGCTATTCCTTCTTTTCTCAGGTTACTTCCTTAACATCTTCAAATGCTTTGGTTTTTTTTTTTTGTTGTCCTTTTTTCTTTTTTTTTAATTTTATTTAAGGTTTTGATCATGTAAGTATGAACATATACTATTATTCTTCCAAGCACACACAAACTTTTCTCAGGTTACTTCCTTAACATCTTCAAATGCTTTGGTTTTTTTTTTGTTGTTGTCCTTTTTTCTTTTTTTTTTTTAATTTTATTTAAGGTTTTGATCATGTAAGTATGAACATATACTATTATTCTTCCAAGCACACACAAATTTGAGAAGATGTTTGTTAATCCATGGGAAACCTGGCTAAGTTGGTTTTTGAGCATTTATGAAGAATCAATATTTCAGAAAGTTGTTGTGACAATCTTTGATGCTAATTTGCTCATTATTTGACGAACAAGATGTTTAAAAAGAAGTAAAAATAATTAAAAATAATTCCTAGAGAATTATGAGAGAGAGTTTGATTTCTTTCCTGTCCACTCTGCCTTTTTCTTTCCTTTTTTTCGGTTTTATATGTCTATATATATGTGATAATCTTGGCGACATTGTTTTGATCATCTTCATACACACCTTCATAGATTTAATACATGGTTTCTTTCTCTGCAATACTAGACTTTGCATGTAGTTTCCATGTCTTTGTTTCTTGCTCTTTTTTCTAGCTTAATTTGAATAATCACCGACACTTTGGAAGTTTGGAGTGGTTTGGTTTCATTGTTTAATGCTATGTGATTTAATACACTGAAGCAACGTGTCAGAACTCAGATATGACACTAGAAAGTAGAAATGTTGCATATGTCAAAACCTCAACTTGAACAGAGAGATTTTTACATTTGAAAAAAGAAAAAAAGAAAAAAAAATTCCTTTGTTTGTATTAAAGAAATTAGCTATTGATGTCGTTTTGTTAAATCCTCGTGATTGTCATACTATGGCCTTTGTGTGTGTGTGTGTGTAAAACATTCCTTAATTTGGGTTTTCTTGGACAGTTGAGTTTACCTTAACCTCGGCGGTCGTCAGCGGCACTCGGGCGGTGAGGATACCGGAGCACACGTGCCACAAGCAGATCGTTTTAACCGGTTGTAACCAGCAGAATTGCACTAGGGAATGCTCCAAGGAACCATATGGTTTTGGAGCTTGCAAAGACGGCGTTTGTTTTTGCACATTCTATTGTAAGGACCCTCCTGTGTGAGTGGCAGGCATATCTTTACTGCTTTGCATATGTTGAGAAAGTTAGATTTGTGAATTTGGAGGCATGTACAAGCGAATTATGAGTAATTTTTATGATTCTAAGCTTGTTTGTTAGGAAACACCGCCGATGTGTCAATCATCAATGATGCCATTCATATTTCATGTGTTTGTTCTCATGAGAATTGTGACCTAATAGAGTATGGTCCCCCTAATAGTAAGTGCTTATCCTTTAGGCTTTAGGTATACAGTTTGCTGATGATCCATGGTACAACCAATCATTTTCTGGTCGAATCGCAGTGTCAACCAATATTTCAAGTGTTGGATATCGGTGTAAAATAAACCGTTAAATTTGGGTTGGTTTTTGTTAGGCGTGACCTAATAACAAACATTTTCAACGGCTCTAAAATGATTTTTTGACCATTACGAGTCGTAAAAATGCGTTATATGGTGCATCCAAAAATGATTGGTCACGCGCAATTCGATTAGTTTAATTGTTACTTTAACTTAGGATCTACTTTGGCACGCCCCAAGTTGAGCTTTTAGAAAAGGAATATCACTGATTGCTTGCTAATTGAAATTGCTCATCCAACAATTCCTTTGCTGATAGTACCGAAAAAGATGCATCAAAATAGCATTCCAAAGATGACAGAGAATATTTGTTTCGTTATTCACGAAATTTGTAGGGTCAAAGTAGCATAATCATATCCAAGAAGAAACTAGAAGATTTAGGAGGGAGAAAAAAATTAATCATTGCAATTAAAGTAGAATTATATGCAGACGTAATACAGAGTTCTACCGGTAGGGTATTAAACGTATAATTCTCCAATGAGGAGAACAATTGGTCTACGTTGGCCGCTTTACAAAATGTCGGCAACAAAATTTGACCCATTGAAGCACAAGAAGATGTATTACTTTCAAAATCTCAGTTTGTAGTTTGTACGGAACTTTCCCATTGAAGGATATTATAAAGATATGGATATACAGATATACAAGCTTCCTGCTACGAAGTTTTCCTCGCATTCAATGTAGAAATCATATTTCATGAATTTATGGTAAAGCTGCGAAGTGACGAACGGTGGCTTTCATGAATTTATGGTAAAGCTGCAAAGTTGAGGGTTCTGTGTCTTGAAAGTTTAAACCCTTTTCCCTGTTTTTTCTTTTTAAAATTTTTTTTTTCTTTTTCTTCACGTGGGAATTGGCAAAGCGTATTTATGGGAAATTTTTTAAAATGTCTTTAATAAAATAATTCTATTTTATTCCTATTATTATTGTTAAATACTATGTCACTAATAACGAGTAAGTTATCTTTCATAATAAGTAAATTACTCACTTCATATACTAAAAATTATTTTACGTAATAGTATCAAAATTTTGTGTAATAACTAACAGCGTTCGAAAAAAAAAGGTTAAACTTGATCTTTATTCATCACACTAGTTGAAACACACGCTATGCGTGAGTATTGAATATGTTATATTTTTTAGATACATACATTAAAAAAAATACTAAGAACAAAAAATATTAGGCAATCATATATTTGAAATTATTTAAATGAGAGCATATTAGAAATAAAGTTTAACAATACAAAATTAGAAAACACAAGATCTAAAATGAAGAAAAAAGCAAAATGATCAAAATGCACGTTTTAAATTGGTAAAAGTGTTTCAATAAATCATGATTATAAATATAAGAGTTTTTTTTATAAAGAGACAAATAAAACATTCTGCATATTTTATTTTATGTTACGTTCATCCTATTCAAAAACTCG